TGTAACGTAATGCCAATTTTGGTGAAACGTGATGTTGTCAGAAGTTAAACAAAGGCCAACGCTCGTCAGGGCAGTTACGGCAAGCACAGGCATCAATGGCTTAAAATGGTGGCCAATCAATTTCGAAAAATAGCCACAGGTTTTGGCTGTTTCTCCAATTTTAGTCAGAAAATTTCTCTTTTTCTACCTGTTTCCTGCAATTCTTAGTAATTTCCCTAATTTTCAGTGCTTATGATTTTTAGTTTTTCATTGTTCTTTACATTACACAATTGAGATAACTTTTTTAAGCCGTGTCGATAGTGTGACCTCTTCTCTGTTTCCTGTAACTAAAGTTGGGAAATTCTTGCTTTGATTATCCAAAACAGTTCAAGGCATAAGTAGCCCACGCTCACTATGTGAGCGTCATTTATACTGTTGGCATCACTGTCATTTACAAAACAGCGACACCTATGTTGTCTTCTTCTCGTTTCTTAGGATTTTACAGCATTGTAGGCACCTCAGCAGATTAAGGCTTTCTGTATCAGGGTGGTTGATTTTCACCACTGGCTCAGAAAAAGCCTTTCACCAGCACTGGAAAGGCAACAACACTGTTTATAAAATAATATAGTGTGTGCGATCTCTTTGGCCAATAGTATGTGTAGATGGGAGTATGTTAACATGATTGTGACAACAAATTTTTTATAAAAGCAACAGAGGACTTTTAATTTTTTCGAGTCTACATATTTAGCCTTATCTAAATACTTGGGGGTTGGAAAAATTCTGTTATGCAAACCCGAGACGCTGGCGAGTTGATTGATTGATTGATTGTAAACACAGAAGAAGTCCTCTATTGCTCAAATAATCGTAAGAAATGACAAAAAGGCAGCAAAAGTGAGTTTTAAAGGATAACTTTGTTGCCAATTTAGTACATTTTAAAGCGACAGCAGTATTTGTTGACTTGATGTTGTTGTTTCCGTATACTCTCTTACAACGAAGGTTGCAACAAATTATTAACTATATTAGGGCCGAACTCTCATGTTGTTAATTCGTAAAGTGATAATGATCCTCAACTATTGTTTGAGCTACCTGTGTTTAAGGTGGCTCTGGAACCCATAAACAGATTTTTTTTATCTTTGCAGAAAGTTGTATCTCTATAAGCCTATTGCACTTCAATAATAAACAGAAAAAAAAGTCCTCTAGGAGGACATTACGCTTCCATTCCGGAAGTATGCCAGTTTTGGAAGAAGCGCTGATGTCACGATACTAAAATTTCCCCAAAATCGCAAAAATAATATTTGCGAAAAAATATGGGCTCTTAGAAAAGCTTGGTTCTAGGTTTCGTCGTTTGATATTCGGGACTTTCAAAGTCCCATTACAAGCCTTCGCTCTCGACCGTTCCTTGTGCGAGCATTGTGAACGTTTGGCAAAGGGAATCAATAAAATCCGCATCATTTTGGAACAACCTTCGAAGAAGACGAAGGCATTTTTTACGGCCATCGAACGTAAGTACATGTTTTTATGTTTTTTTTTTTCAATAGCTTGCCGAATTTTTTCAATATCGGAGCTAATTTTGCTCGAAACTACAATATGTGAGTGTTGTGTTGCCAAAGTTTCATCAGTGGCAACAAGCTAGTAAAAATGGCAACCACGTATTGAAAATAGTTGTCATAAGAAAT